CACCGCTCGCTCTAGTTCTACCCAAGTGACCTCAGGCACGTCGTCGTCATCCACGTTAGGCTCCTCAGGCACCGGAGACGGAGCCATCTGTAGTGGAGTGTGCTCCACCAGTCTCGATGGGAACAGGGAGCCGACGAACCCCTCAAGCAGCTCTGGCTGGAGATACCGGGTCAGCAGCGGGGTCCATGGGCGCATCTTGCCCCTAACCATACGATAGGGCGGCCCCACGCACTCCGTTTCAGTGACTCCAGTAACTCGCGGCGGACCTCCCTCTTGGCCGCTTTATCGCTAAGGTCACTAAGGTCCTTTTGGCAACCCTGTATTCCACTAACAACTTCTTCTCGGGCTGCCGCATCTTTGGGGCCTCGACGCCTTCTGCGCAACCTGGACCACAGGCGGCGCGCGATCACGTAGGCTTGGCGCAACCGTGCAATATCTGGTGACCACCTGAGGACTAGGTGCCTCGCAATATTGGGCTGAACGCTAGGCATCGCCGCTTCGCAGACGCGGGTCATGGCCTCCCGAAAACACTGTGCCTCGGCATCAACGTCAACAGGCCTGACCGGCGCAGGGGCCCAGGCCTGTACGATGGCGGCTTCCAGGAGGAGCTCCTCGCGGTCATCCCATGCCACACAGTGGGGTGATCGCCTGGACGCCGTAAGAGGAGATGCACTCAGGAGCGGTTCCCTGTACTGGTGGACACCGGAACTCGAGCAGGTTCGCACACCGTGCTTGAGAGCCCCCCACCGGTTTCAGAGAACCCGAAGACGACGGCGAGCTACAACCGCGATGATCGCTGAAGTAAGACGGTAGTGCGGCGCTGCCGCCAAGGCTATTAGCCTTGCGATTGCTGAAGCCAAGGCTTGGTCCTGGAAGGAGCTCACAGAGCGATTGGACAGGGATTGTTATCGCTAGGGTAGATCATGTAATCACCACATACTCCTGGCTCCTGAGTCCCCGAGGAGCCGGAGATCCGAAGGGATTTTCCAACAAAAGGAGATCTCAAAAAACATGGAGCAAGTTTTGGAGCTTTAAAGAAGTACTGAAAGGCAATTTTCCTATAAAACTGAAAAGAAAAGTAATGAATTCATGCCTTCTGCCCTCTTTGACATATGCTTGTCAAACGTGGAAATTCACTCAGAAGATCAAAAACAAAATAAAAACAAGCCAAAGAAGTATGGAAAGGAGTATGATGAAAATAAACAAACTTCAAAAAATTCCACATACAATAATACGCGAGAAGACAGACGTTATTGATGCCCTGAGTCACGCACTAAAATTAAAATGGAGATGGGCGGGCGGATAGCCAGACTGACCGACGACAGGTGGACTATACTAGCCACAGTATGGCCAGGACCAGCCGGCTACAGAAAGAGAGGCAGACCGCAAACACGATGGAAAGATGACGTCACACATATTGCTGGCCGAAACTGGGTTTCAGTAGTTAGCAACAGGGACATTTGGCAATCTCTGGAGGAGGCCTTCATCTGAAAGGGGTTCTTGCTCACAAATTATTCGATTTTGTATTTAATTTATTAAAAAATGTAGGATATGATTTAATTTAATAAAATTCGAATTAGTCTAATAATTTATAATGTAATAATAAAATCTAATAATGTAATCTTTTATATACTTAATTTTACTGGCAAGAAATAAAAGGCTTTTTTTTTTTTTATTATGATATAATATTAAGTAACATAGCTGTTAAGTTTCCAAATAAATAAATAAATAGACCCATGGGGGCGCCCTTATAAACTTGTACTGGGCAAGCTCAGACCGTGGGTCCCCCGCTGACGCAGACCTTGGAGCTGGAATTTGTGTTAAGAGTGGTAGATACCCTCTTTCCCAGGGACCAGGGTAACTCCTCACGGCCTCCGTCATCGTCGGATCCGCTTGCGATGTCCGACGACTTTGACGTGATGGAGGAAGAGCCGTGAGCGACTCGCCGCCCGCAACACCGCCACGGGCATCGATCTGTCGGACGCCCAATTCGGTGTTCAAGCGGTGCGTTCGACGATCGACGAGGCGGTGAGCCATGGTGGCGACCATGAAAATGACATATTCAAATAAAAATACCTTGTTCTCAGGTCAGTTTAAGGGATGTGCTGGATGTTCGGCTTTGAGTTACTTTATGATAATATAGATGTTAAGTTTCAATCTTTTATTTTTTTAGAAAATGAACAAACTAAGCTATAAACCTTTTTATAATAACAAGAAAAATTGTATAAGTAATCAAAATAGTTTACTAAAATATTATACTCTAATTCCATAGTTTGGTTTATTTTAAATGTATTTATTTTACAGGTTTGACAATAAAAATATAAATAAATGATCTTATGAAAAATAATAACTTTTTACTATTACATATTATACCCTTTCTCTTCCGTAAACTACAGTAATTTTAAAGGAAGAGAATTAAATAAATATATCCTATCATGAACACAAAAAAAATACCAAAAAGTCAAGAACCTAATGATCAATCACACAGTATTTTTGCTAATCGTTCCATTCTGCCACTAGTTCTAATGACTAATAAGATGAATTTTAGAAGGGCTCTTATATAGATGTTACCACCAAGAGTTCGATACACAGAAAACTTATAAGTAGATGTACTTTATCTAGTGTTTTTCACACATGTGTGAAAAACACTAGTTACATAACCAATCAACAAATTTCGTATCCGTCAGTATTGTCTGGTTATAATGTGTGTGCATTGAAACATCACAACACACACAGAGATAGGCACAGAAAGGGTGCGAGCGAATATGAAAATTACAATGGTACTGCACTTATGACCCTTGTCTGTACCTAACAAATATTATTGTGTTTCGATATTTTGTCTAAATATAATTAATAATTAATGATTAAATAATAATTAATGATCCGAAGTTACTAAATTTTTGCGCCTTGCGCCGCGGTTTAAAACGCTAAATATAAAACAATCAATATAAAAAACTAATTGTTTTATATTATCGACAAAAAAACTTTATAAATTAATATTTTATTACAAACTATGGAATATAGAAAATAAAAAATAAAATTCAAAATTTTAACCGAATCACGTAGACGTTTTTGTCTTTATTGGTAATAAATTATTTGTCTGTATTGAATTACATACTATACCTATTTGAATTTAAAAATATTGAAGTTTACTACAATCTAATTTCACGAATAACTGAGTTACAACAATGAGTGAGTGAGGTACAACAATGAATGAATGAGTGCAACAATTGTTCGGGTCTCTAAGTAATAATATTTAGACACAAACTCAAGTAAATGTGAAATGAAATTATAGTCACCGAAGTCACTCGTTTTAAAATTAGTTATTTATAAATTTAAGTTCTACCAATCTCTAAATAGCTAATGAATTCTAATGTAATTACATTACCTATACAAATAAATAAAATTGAAGTGCCTGTTTGTAATGTCAAAATATTAGATTTTTTTCATGCATGGTTATTTGCACGATACCTATGCCTAAAAACCACTTTAAATTATTACTTTCTGTCTGTCTGTTTGTTCCGGTTTTAATATGTTATTTTAATATGTTTTTACTACCAGGTAGCTGTCTATATAAGGAGTAACTTAGGCAATTTTTCCTCTCAGAATAACCCTATAAAATATTGCCCGATCCGGGAATCGACCGTAGGCCTCATGGACTGCAGTCGCGTACCGTTCCACGAGGACGAAGTCGCGGGTAATAGCTAGTCTCTAATTTAAAAAAAAACACTCCGCCGTGCATTGGCAGGTAAACAGCCGCCCACACGTTCTTTTTAAAATGAACCTATTCTATCTTCATATTCGATACCTAAAACACTTATGGAGATTTAAAGGAAAAATATCAAGTAGAAACTGTTAGCCACATAATATACGTATACAGGGTTACTGGGTATTTCGACCTTAAGTGGTTGTAGTTTTCATCATTTCTGATATATTTCATTTCTTTCAACCTTCTAATTCTTTTGATGTCTTCTTAATAATTCCACAAACATAAATAATACTGAACCGTGTGGTGACGGATTAAGAATACAGAGTGTCACCACCCCTATTCATCCCGTGGTTGTCGTAAGAGCCGACTAAGGGAAAAAACTGCTCAAAACACCAGCACTGTATAGAGAAGGAAAACTTGACACAAACCCTATACCAACCCGTCTGGCCAGCGTTTTATAGTAGGCCAAAACCTCCTTTCTAAGGAGAGGCTTGTGTCCAGCAGTGGTCTGTTAAAGGCTGTTGATGTGATGATGTGATATAATATTTCGAAACTAAGAAAGCTATTCGTAAGTAAGAAGACTGATATGAATAAAAGTAGGTATGGGTATTTATAACTAACTATAAATTTATCCATAAAAAAATAATAAAAGAATGAGGTCGTTGGTATAAAAAATTATAACAAATCAAGTGAGCCAGAGTCCGTGAAAACCCCATTTTTAGGGTTCCGTACGTAACCCTTTAACGGTCATAAGGAGTGGACAGTGGAAAATGAAAACTGTTAGTGGTTATAATGAAGGTAAAATGGAATTTTTATTTTATATTTTTTTTATATTTCTATATAATAATAGAAATATTCTCCCTTTGCCGGTCAGATTCTTTCGTTATTCGTCTCTATTGCTTCTTCTTTTCTCAATCCTGGTCTATTTAACAATAACTTTTACATTATTTAATTTTTATAAAAATCAAGTTATTTATTTATTAGTAGACAGTAAAATTTACATTACTATTTCTTATGAAAAACATAAAAATATGGGACGATGCAAAGTGCGACCTGGCATTTCGCACACATTATTTTCGATCTTTTGTCGTTTGTTTTAGTGCTACACAATCTTATTCGATCGGCTACAGCGTTTATTATTTTTTGACGATATTCATTTTCCGTGAGCTTTCGTCTAGAAACATATTTTACAGCAAGAAAGCATTAGTTAAGCTCTTGTCAATGAGGCAATAGAAAAGCCGCAACCACTATCTTTTACTTCGTCTGCCGACGTGCCCTTCAGCTAATCAAAATGATCAACGCCACCCATTATGGTATGGCACATTCTTTTTTGAACCGTCCAGTTTGAAGGGTTCTGAAATCCTTTATAATAAGAAAGAACCCTTTATAATGTAAAAATCCATAACATCGCGAACGTAGTCACGAGTCTTAGCTAGTTGTATTTGATGAGATAAGGCTCAACAGGGAATTGCTCGCAATTATGCTCGCAAATGTTTTTATCACTGTTCTTGGACTGATGTGATTCAGTATTCGGTTACAGCTATGCCGCGGTGGATGTACTTATTGTTTTTGTGCGTCGCAGTGGGCGCGATAGAGCACGGTAACGATGAGTGGCTGGAGGTGAAGATTGAACAAGGTCCCGTACGCGGACAACTGGATTCAGGTGGAGAACTGTGGACTTTTCTGAATTTACCTTACGCCACGGCACCGACGGGCAGAAACCAATTTAAGGTACACAAAAAAGGTTGTGTAATTAATAAATTTTTGCCAGGCAGTGTTGACAGCTGTTAACCTGCTGCGGGGAAGTCGTGTTTTTTATTAAAGATTGCATTAGATATTTAGTAATTATTACATTGGTCGAACTTAAAATAATGAATACCTACACTATGGTGTTTCAGTTTGTTAGGAGTAAAAAAAAAAGACATTTTCCAGACTTTGCCCGGTCTGGAAGTCTTCCTAAACTTAATAATAAGTAATTAAAATTTCAAGAATATTGGTCAATATTAAGGGAGAATTATTTATATTATGAGAAAAAACGAAATTTTAATGTTCAACTACCTTTTTTCAAAATAACATAGTATCATAGAAATATGCCACTTTCAAGTAAAAAGACACAAATTTTGCTTAGAATACAATATAAATATTCATTATGTAACATAAATTTTGCATTTAATTTATTTATTAATTAATTAACGATATAAGCTGCAACCTCTTCTTTTGTTCATTTGGTGACGCCTCTTCTGTAATGCTCGAAGACTTTTATCAAAAATTGTTTCTGTTCTTTATCTTTGACAGAATCGTTGAATTTTTTTTATTTAGACTTTCTGCAGTATCATTGACTACCTTGAGACCGTCCACCATGTCTCTGAGTGTAGTGCTACAATATTCGCTTTTATCGTGAATACCGAACTACTCGAAGAAAGTTTTTGTTTTACTAGTAACAAAGTAACTAACGGTTTTTGTGTCAAATTTAAGGGTTTTACCATCCAGTCGTATCATCTCCTTTATCTCTGCTGGTTTTTTTTAAGTTGAAAAACATTTTACCTCTTTAAGAACAACCCTAGCCATTTCCTCTCCCGTGCATTTTACAGCAAATGGGACGCCAACTCGAAATTTTTGCCAGATACAGAAACAGCCACTTTACCCTTCAACTTACTGTCCAAATGTAGAACTAATAGCGGAGGGTTCTCAAATAAAGATTATTCATTTGGGTTCTGTTTGCAACTCGAGCTCGGTAAACGGTAGACGGCGATATAAAAATATCTGGGACATTATGACTCTGCTTTTAGCGGTTGCGATAAAAAAAGTACAAGCTTGTAGATTGGATAGTTTTTAACGATCCCATGTTGCTGTGAGTGTCCGAGCAACAAGTTATTTACTGCTGATAAGGTGTGGAACTTTAACGCTGACACTCGGTTCAGTGAATTCGTCATCCTCGTCGCTTGTGTGTGTGATTGTGCTACTGTGTTACTTTCTTCTATCTCTTATAGCGTTTCTTCTTAAAAGCATCATTTTTTTTGGGTTTTTAATCATATGATTATCTCTCTACATTATCAGAAATTCTTTATCTTTTTCTAATACACTATTCATTGTCATTACATTCTGGCTCGCAATATCAAATAATTTGTCAAGATCGCTTTTCCATTCTGGCCTTTTTCCACAGATTGGTATTAATTATAATAATCGATCGATCGGGCTCGAATATTTTTCTGAATCTTAACAGGAATATTAGCTCTCTTCCATATGACTTGCAGTTTTGTACTTGTCGATTTAGCAGCTTCAGAAAGCGTTTCTTTTATTTCTTTGTAGTGGTGAATAAAAACTAACAACACTTGTTCTTTGGAAGGAAGCCTAGCTCTTTTTTTTTCAAATTTCTCTTTTTATTTTGCTCTCATGCTTAACTGGTTCACTATAACACACTAAATTACTCTCACCCAACCCTACACTGTATAAAACTAATGTTAAAAATGTACCCTACGCTGATGACGTACTAGCTGTATCAGAAAACTTTATTGGCGTTGCACAACCTCTAAATATTAACTGATTATCAGGGCAAAATCCTTGTTTTATTACAAATACGGCAATCTTCTGCAAGAACAGTGTCAGAAACGGCGACAGATACTTGCGGCTTATTATAAAATCAAAGCAATGTACTGGGTCACGAGACAAGCTAGAAATCATTTTGCAGTACAATATAAGTTTGCAAGTTTATTTTGTTTATTGAAGTTTATAATATAGGTCCACCATTCACCAGCAAAAAACGGTTTCACGAGAAAATGTAAGAGAAACCCAGAAAACTGGAAAAAAAATCCTTGAATATAAATGAAAATGCAATATCCTCTTATTCTAAATAATAATTATAACTGTACGTAATAATAACCAGGTATTAAGTTTTTTTACTTTTCTGAATCATAGCTATGTAAATATGTACCAATGTACTGTTTGCATAGCAGTAACTCCTGTACCGATGTATAAGTTTTAGTGCGGGTACCTGTATAATGTACATGTATATTTATGTTACTTTATTTTTCGGCACCACCCGTTACAAGCACTCTGATCACTAGAAGTTCTCCATATCGAATGTAAAAAAAACACTCTTATTTGACTAGCGTAGTACTTAGTGCATGGGCGAAATTGCATTTGAAGGAGAACAGAGAGAATTTTTTGACAGTTATTTCTTAATTATTTTTTTAAAAGACAACTCTAGCATTAGGTATATTACGACCTACAGGATATATACTGTATATATCCTGTAGGTCGTGAAACGGACACAAACAACACCCAGACTCAGAACAACAATTTGTGGATCACACAAAGTGTTGTCCCATGTAGGGATCGGACCCACAACACTCAGCGTAGTGGTAAGCTTCGTGGCGACCGCTTAAACCACTACGCACCCGTTCCGCCATCCGCCATATGTTCTGAAGCAGTAATTATGGGTCTTCAATGTGCTATATATTTCTCTCATTTTCTCAATTTTGAATGGAATCCAAAGGGTACTTTTTATAAAATGAAATTAAAACTGTGCTTTCTCATAAGCCTCAATGTTAAATGCAAAAACTTTCAATATCTTTTCACCGGTTCTCTGTAGTTTTTCAAAAAATTTAACGAGATCATTATCTTATTATTATTACTAATAAGCAAATTTAAAAACAAATTGGGAGTACTGCCTTAAAGTTGTGTTACAACTTATTTTATTTACATTAAAAAGGTGGGCGAATTCTTAGCTAATTCAATACGAAGTTTGTTGGTTAAGGTCCGAGGCTCCCCCTAAGCCTAGGGGCCCCGATACACAGCACCGTCTAACATTTCGGTAGCTACGCCACTGCATATTTACCACATTTGGAGTCACAAGTGACCATTTTCATTTGTTGGTAGCAAAGCTAGCTTACGGATATTTTATTCTGAATTAACTTGTACAAATTTAATTTCAATTCAGATACATACGTACATTAAAAGTGATGCTTAACGTCAAATATGAGGCGATCATATATATCACTAAGCTATACTATACTCTATACTAGTAAATAAAATTGAAGTGTTTGTTTGTAATATCACAATAATAGGTTTTTTTGTGCTCACACAATTATTTGTATGATACCTAATGCTTAAAAACCAGAAGAAACTCGCTAACGTGCACAATATTTCCTTGTTTTGAAGCTCTTCTAAATTGCGTTAACGTTAGGAAGATTTTTAGTTTAAAGGTGTCAATTAGGCAAATATTGTGCAACCTGTCTTGCACTATATTTATGTAAGGAAAGGAAGATTTTTTGAAACATTATGTGTGATGTTTATTTAGTTTTTAAGATTTTTCAATTTTTTATATGGAACATCTCTTTTGCAGGCACCTCTTCCACCGCCCACATGGACTGAAACATATGAAGCTATCGATAGAGGCGTCGTATGTCCTCAATTGATATGGAAGGTTCACATGCCTGGGAACTTACGAATGCAAGAAAATTGCCTTATCGCAAATATATACGTGCCTGACACCAGGAGAAAAAATCTTTCCGTCCTAGTGTATGTTCACGGAGGTGCATTCCAACTAGGTTTTGGTGAAATGTTTAAAGCAAAAAATATCTTAAAAAAATATAAAGATTTCATCGTAGTTACATTTAATTATCGTCTAGCCGTTAATGGTTTTCTTTGCCTTGGTACCGAAGATATTCCTGGCAATGCTGGTATGAAGGATCAAGTAGCGCTGCTCAAATGGGTACAAAAAAATATCGCCGCTTTCGGAGGTAATCCCAATGATGTCACTATTGCCGGATACAGTGCAGGATCGATTTCAGTCGACCTTCTAACAATATCCAAATCTGCTGAAGGGTTATTCCATAAAGTTATACCAGAGAGTGGGTCAGTATTATCGACATTTGCATCTCAGTCTAATCCGTTACAAAATGCCAAAGGCTATGCCAAAACTTTAAATTTCACTAACGTAGATGATATTTACCAACTTGAAGAATTTTACAAAACATTGTCGTATGAGACTTGGATGGGACAGGCCTTTGACTTTGATGATCCTTATTTCTTTATACCTTGTGTGGAGCGGGAAACGGATGATGGCGCTTTTCTTACGGAATCTCCTATTAATATCTTAAAAAGCGGTAATTTCAAAAAAGTACCTATGCTTGTTGGTTTTAGTAATATGGAAGGTTTGTTTCGTATTCTGGATTTCGAAACAGCTAAAGTCAGAATGAATCAGAAATTTTCCGATTATCTGCCGTCAGATTTAAAGTTTGAAACTGAAGAGGAAAAAGAAAAAGTTGCCAAAGAAGTCAAAAAATTTTACTTCGGTGACAAGCCTGTAGACAAAGACAATATATTGGGCTATGTCGATTTCTTCTCAGATATTGCCTTTATTCAATCCAGTCTTTGGGCGGTAAAGTTATATGCAAAAAGCGGTCATGATCAAATATATTTATACGAATATTCATTTACTGATGAAGATACTCCTCCTGTGATACATACAAATGTCCGTGGTGCTACGCATTGTGCTCAAACATTTGCTGTACTCGATGGCAAAAACCTGACATCTATAAATGAAGATGATCTTACAGAAGAATATCGAAATATGAAGAAATCGATACGAGAAATATGGCATAACTTTGTTAAAACAGGGTAAGTTAAATCTACTTAAACAGACATGAAATCATTCGTTGTATAAATACAGAGAATACGACATTTTTGATTTACATTTACTGCTCCATCTGATGATTGACTACAGCCTGAATTATTACTAGAAATAGATATAATTACATTTTAATTTTATTAATTATTTGTTTTATAATTGTTTAATATTATAAAATTGATTATTGTTTAATGCGAAAATGTGAAATATTTAATGATAACAATCACACGCTTTCTGTACCTATAAGAACGGGACAACGAACGACGTGTGATCGACAAAGTAATAATAAATTTTACTTGGTCTTTTTTTGCAGTGAGCCCGTAACAGAAGGATCATCCTTACCGTCATGGCCACCTGTAGGAGCAGATACATCGCCTTACATGTCTCTGGGGCGGACGGTTGAGCTCCATAGCCGTGCAATGACGGAAGACAGAACACGCTTCTGGGAACACATCTACCAGAAGTACTATCAAGAACCCATGTCACCGCCAAAGCCACATTCAAGATCACACACAGATCTCTAACTTAATTTGAAAACATAAAATCTGTATGTAGAAGCAAATAATCCGCATTAGATTTAAAACGTTGTCTTAATAAAAATTATTTGCCTCTTGGGAACAATTATAACCATTTAGTAATAGTGTAAATGAAAACAGATTTACTCCTACATGTCGGGTGATTCGGGGTGGTCAGTAAAGCTATTTTTAGTCAGTCGTAAACCTGTACAAAAGTACTATCTAGGACCAGAACCCTTACTGCCGTTTGATTGACCATGAATAAGGTAATAAAACAGTAAACCTGTAGGCCAATTCTCGTAATAAAAGTTCGGTCTCAATTCAGTTGCGATTAACTTTCGATCTCAGAACTGGTCGATCTCATTAAAAGGTATTTTCGTTTTAAAATAATAAATTATATGACTATACTAAGACTAGCAGATTACCGATTCAGTTTTCGGTTCCGATCAACATAATCAAATAGTCATAAATCAAAAAGTCTTCAAAATCCATCCTCACAAATTCTTGGGCAACCCTCCTTTGATCGTTTAAATATGTATGGATAATAAATTATATGTAGACAATATATCGAAACACAATAATATTTGTTAGGTACAGTCAAGGGTCATAAGTGCAGTACCATTTTAATGTTCGTATTCGCTCGCACCCTTTCCGTGCCTATCTCTGTGTGTGTTGTGATGTTTCAATGCACACACACTATAACCAGACAATAATGACTGATACGAAAGTTGTTGATTGGTTACATGCACATGTGTGAAAAACAATAGATAAAGTACATCTACTTATAGGTTTTCTGCGTATCGAACTATTGGTGGTAGCATCTATATAGCCCTGCTAAAATTCATCTTATTAGTCATTAGAACTAGTGGCAGAATGGTACGATTAGCAAATTATACTGTGTGATTGATCATTAGGTTCTTGACTTTTTGGTGTTTTTTTTGTGTTCATGATAGAATATATTTATTGAATTCTGTTCCTTTAAAATGACTGTTATTTATACTTTTATTGTCAAACTTGTAAAATAACTACATTTAAAATAAACCAAACTATGGAAATGGAGTATAATATTTTAGTAAACTATTTTCATTACTTATACAATTTTTTTTGTTATTATAAAAAGGTTTATAGCTTAGTTTGTTCATTTTCTTAAGAAATTAAAGATTGAAACTTAACATCTATATTATCATAAACTAACTCCTAGCCGAACAGCCAGCACATCCCTTTAAGTGACCTGAGAACAAGGTATTTCTATTTGAATATGTCATTTTTTTAATAATATTTAGTGTGACTTCAATTGTTATTAATACAACTTAAAATACGTTGACTAACGAAGGCCACTAAACACCATACGTTTTCTATAGGGTTTAGATCAGGACCATATAATAACCTTAATATCCGAATGTTGGTGTCCACCATACATACATACAACTATACGAATAATAATTTTTAAATAAGAGAAATTAGCACGGTATATCAGACAGTTATCTTGAACGAAATACTTTAATTAGTCGACGTACTTGTCACAGAGAGATCAGAATCAGAGAGAGAGAAGTCAGAGAGATCAGGCAGTGGGCCATCGAACCACCACTGTCTCCAATGTCTGATTTACCATCTTCAGACGAATTTCTCGGTATCATTCGATCCTTGCCGCTAAACAAGGCTTCGGACGATGATAAAATATCTAACAAAATGATAAAAGAAGCTTGTAAACTTTTGGGTGACACGATTTTCACTGTCTTTAAACGTTGCATTGCTGAAGGAATATTTCCTCGTATATGGCGGTGCGGTAATATTCGTATAATACCAAAAAGTGGCGACAAGCCACCGGATGATCCTAAATCCTACCGACCAATCACATTGTTACCACCGTTAGGAAAGCTTTTAGAACGTCTAGTAGTGCCCCGGCTTCTGCCAGGTGGAATGAAATTTCATAATAGACAATTTGGATTTACGTTGGGTAAATCGACAACTGACGCTGTTATATCGGTTAGAAAGTTTGTCACAGAGTCAAAATTTCAATACGTGCTGGCTATTTTCTTAGATATATCTGGCGCCTTCGACAACGCATGGTGGCCCATGCTGTTGCTGAAATTAAAATCACGAGGGTGCTTTAAAAATATTTATTCCCTTATCTCTTCGTACTTTTCACAAGGTACAACTAAACTAAGACTTGGTCATCATTCTGTGTCGAAGGCGCTTACAATGGGATGTCCTCAGGGATCGGTGCTAGGTCCATACTTGTCGAATATCGGCTTCGACGATTTTCTTGCGATACCAATACCACCATCCGGATGTATTCTGAACGCGTATGCTGATGACGGCTTATTACTGGTGGAATCTGATACTAGGGCGGAAATTGAGAGATCAGCCAATAGATGTTTGAACTTGATATCTCAACTTTTGCACCCAACAAAACGTTCCAGCTACTTTTAAAAGGTAACCTCAAATCACCGCCAAGCATTAGATTTGACAATGTTAAAAATAAAACCTCAGTGTGTTACCTAGGATTAGTTTTAGAAAGAAACTTTTCATTTATCGAACATATTAAAATAGTTAATGAAAAGTCTAAAAAGAGTTTCTGTGCATTGACAAGGATATCAACTGCGACATGGGGTCTATCATTTAATAAATTAAAGATCATATACGGAGCTACTTATTTAGGTTCTATGTGCTATGGTGCACCTGTATGGGCCGATAGGGCGACCGTAGGCGCTGTCCGTCGCAAACTGTTACAAGGCCAACGACTTGCACTGATATTCTTGTGTAAGGCATATAGGACGGTTAGCACTGAGGCTTTGCCGGTGTTGGCGGGTGTGCTTCCGGTCGATCTCGAGGTGCAGAGACGTGCAGCCATGTACTATTCAAGACAACAAAACATGGAAAGCGATTTTTTGGGCGCGCGGGATCGCGGTAAAATTACAAGATTGCTTCAACAGCAGCCCGATGTCTATAATGACCTCATAGACGAATGGCAACAACGCTGGGATGAATCATCCAAGGGGCGCCATCTTTACCAATTCTTTCCATCTGTTCGCGAACGGTTGTCGAGGATATGGCTTGAGGTGGATCACTGTGTCACTCAATTTCTTACGGGTCATGGTAACTTTAAGAGCAAGCTTTATTCATTTAAATTAATCAAGTCACCATTGTGTCAATGCTCAACACCTAACTCTCACTATGAACAGTCTGCTCATCATATCCTCTGGGAATGTAGTCTTTGGTATAATGAACGTAATATAATGCTGAATAGCTTGCAGGTGACATCTGGGGCGGTATACTATGGGGATCTTGTGTCAACTATGGGGATACTATGGGGATCTTGTGTCAAACATAGCTCACGTAGGACCCGTAATATTTGTGGCCGTGGTGCTTCCCTGTTTAAAAGGGTGTGTGCCCATTTTACTTCATTTTGTCTCCCGCTTTGCTAAGGAGAGAAGTGGATTTACTGTATTTCCAACTCCTCCAATTTTCTTCTGATTAATTTCGTTGCGGGTTCCAAGACAGTCTAATTTCTTCCTGGGACTTCCCGAGTGTCATAACTCGGTGTGTTCGTGGGTCACTGCTGTGGATCCTGGTGTACAGGAGTTACAGTGGTGGGCGTGTGGGTGGGATTAGTCCCATTAAAAAATACCCTGATGTGTAACCAAACCATAGTGCGATCTAATTCGTTCCCAACGCCATCTATTGACGAAATTACAAACAACTATATTAACTGAATGCGAATTAATATTAATCTATACTAATATTGTAAAGCTGAAGAGTTTGTTTGTTTGTTTGAACGCGCTAATCTCAGGTACTACTGGTCCGATTTGAAAAATTCTTTCAGTGTTAGATAGCCCATTTATCGAGGAAGGCTATAGGCTATATATCATCACGCTAAGACCAATAGGAGCGGAGCACCAATGAAGAATGTTTCAAAAAACGGAGAAAATTTATTACTATTGAGAGACGCAGACGAAGTTGCGCGGTACAGCTAGTTTTATCTATAATCTTCGAAAAACATATTTATAATCAATTTCTACAAATATTTTGAAACAATTTGAATTATTCTGCCATCAGCAAAAAGGCTTCAGAAAAAAACATGAGCATCAATAAATCTAAAAAAAAGGATTTTTTATTGAACATAATGATAGAATAGAATTATAGATAAACGGACACCTGTATGTGCTATATACTGCGACATGACGCAGGCGTTCGATTTTGTACATTATAAAATATTAAAAACAAACTAGAGTGCTACGGTGTAAGGGGAAACATTTTACATATTTTGAATTCTTACTTATCAAACAGGACAGTAACTGTGATCTCTGGATTGGACGATAGGGCTAAAACAGAGGTGTTACATACATTCTGTGAACGTGAAATAAATCCAATGACTCTATTTGCTGACGATAGTACAATAACAATGACATGCAAAAATTCACATACATCAATGGTGACGTGGTTAAATAATAATAACTTAAAAATTTATTTAAATAAAACAAATATAATTGTATTTTAGCAAGCGCAACGATACCCCAAGATAAGATAATGTAGCGATAAGGGAAGTATTTAACACGAGGTTTCTAGGTTTGATTATAGATAAAAATAATAATAACATATGATAACTCTTAGTGGTACATTTAGTAGATCTTACTTGTATAAACTTGCTCTAACGTTAGTGATATGTTCATATAGGTCTTGCAAGAAAACTCCGTCTCCAGTTCCTGACCTGGTCTTGGAACTGTCCGTGTAATTTCGGACTTCGTTAATGCCGGATTGATTTCTTCTTTTTGTGAAGATATGGTGCTTTTGAGATTCTATCACATG